CCTAGACCTAGATCAGAAGGGCTTCATGGAAGAAATGATGTATAAGGTAGGATGATGAGAATAATTAAGAGTTAAGTAACAGTGGCAGCAGCAAAGTGTTGGAGCGTACTCAAGGCCTAAATAATAACACATGTGAAGGCTTGTTTTTTTTTTTAAATTTTTTTTTGCTTGGTATTAAACATAACTATTTTATTTAGATATAATTCGCATACCATAAAATTAACTCTTTTGAATATACATTCAATTTTCAGTATATTCAGTGTTATACATCAACCCTATTGTCTAATTCCAGAATATTTGTATCACCCTAGAAAGAAACCCTGTACCTATTAACATCTTCCATTTCCTCTTTTCTGCAGGCCCTGGAAACCACTATCCTAATTTCTGTCTCTATGTATTTGCCTATTCTGAATATTTCATACTAATAGAACTATATGGTATGTGGTTGTCAATGATTGTCTTTTTTTAAAAATGTGTTTTTAGTTGTAGATGAACACAATAATACCTTTATTTTATTTATGTATTTATTTTTATGTGGTGCTGAGTATCAAATTCAGTGCCTCACATGTGCTAGGCAAGTGCTCTACCACTGAGCCACAACTTCAGCCTCAGTGATTGGCTTTTTAACTTAGCATAATGTTTTGAAGGTCTATCCATGTTGAAACATGTGTTGGTATGAAGGCTTATTATGGGGAATGGAGGTAGACAAGATCGGGAGTTGAAAATTCCTATTGATTAAGATGAATAGGGAATAGAATAAGAATTTGAGAACACAGAATATATCATATTAGAGAGGTAAGCGGAAACCAAATTAAAAAGAACATTTTCAGCTATGTTTTGGAGCTGTGGTCTTTAGTCTAGAGGCAATAGGTTGCTGTTGAATGGTGTTAAGTATGAAAAAGATATAAGCAGATTTGTTTTTTGCATTTGTATAGAGAGTGGGCTAGATGGATACAAAATGGGAGGGCAGGGAAATTATTAGGATTCTTACAAGTAACTGGATTATGGCAATGGGAATGTAAAGAGGTGGGTGGATATGAAAGATTTAAAAGCAGAATGATAAGACTTAGGAGTTAGATTGAATGAAGAGGTTAGAGGAATAATGGAGAGGATCTAGAATGACAGTTGAGTTTCTGAGTTGGTGGGACAGGTGAATGATGATTAAGCTCATTAAGGAGCTGGGAAGCTAGACAAATTCCAGGATGCCAGCCTGGAATAATAGGGAGTATTAAACTAGCACTGGAAAAGTAATGAAATGAAAAAAAAATGCATTTTTCAGAAATTTTTATTTATTATTATAGTAGTATATATGGTTAGGAGGAAAAATATGAAAAGCTAGCTTTTTGCTTGGATAACATTAGTTATTTTCTAAATACTCTAAGAGGCCCAAAGCTGATTTTATTGAGTGGTTTATGCAAATCTGGAGTCAGAGCTAAGTATCTCAATAGAGGAAAGTCTTCCATCAGTGCATCTTTCTTGCCTGTCCTTATAGTTTTTACCCTTTTTCTTTAAAATATTTATATTAATTTGAAGAGTATCAGATTTCTAACTTGGTATTTCTTTTTGACTATTGCTGTATAATTACTATGTAATTACTATAACAAAATGTAATAGTTTCAAACAGCAATTTAATTATCTCTTATGGTTCTGGAAATTGACTGGGCTCAGCCACGTGGTTCTTTCTTAGGGTCTTTGTACAATTGTAGTCAGTTAATGGCTGGGGCTAGAGTCATCTTGAGGCTTGCTTGTTCACATTTGTAGAGAGGCTCATGGGCCAAATCATCAACATGTGTCCTCTCCAAGTGTTTTCTTTGGCATGGTAACTGGGCTTCAAGCATGAGTGTTCCAAAAGGACTAGGCAGAGGCTGCATTAGCATATTTCACCACATAATCATCACAGATTTTATGCCAGTTTTTTTTTTTTTTTTGTAAAAATAGTGGGATGCAATCATTATGTGAAGATTTTCTTAGAAAAAAATGTGATGGTATTACTTAAAGATCATCTATTACTAAATTGTATTTGGTGCAATATTAGGATGCATGAAATACTCTTGAATATATGTTAAAATTGAGCAGTACAAATTGATACATATCCTTTCTCCATGACAATTTAGTGAACATTTTATTAGTCTGAAGGGAAAAAAGTTAACACTTTAGTTGTTATTGATTTGTGCATTATAGTTGAATATTTTATAGTTGAGAAAATTTACTACAATGTTGGGAAGTATGGACTTATAAAATTTAACTTCTGTGTTCAAAGGTTCTGTGCTACTATTATTAATTTTGTTATCTGACATGCTGTCCTCAGTGGTACTCATATAAGATGTGTTTACCGTTAGTACTGCCAACACTCTAAATACACTCCACAAGTTAACTTTTGGAAATACACTGACAGTGCACATGTGCTGAGAATACATTGCTGCTCTGTTTACTTTCTAAGTTATATGACAAATAGAATTATACCATGTGATGATTACATAATGAAATATTACAAACCAGTTTTGGACTGAGAAAACAAGGTGCAATGATTATGCTGTGGTGATGATTATGTGATGAAATGTGGTACCTTTAAAGGACTAACCTTGGAAGTTACATGGTGTTTTCATCAGCTTTGCGTTGATGTGAACAGTATGTCCAACAAGAAAAACTTGGAGGAAAAGTTTATTTTGACTCATGGTTTCAGAGGGCCCCACTGTGTGTGTGTGTGTGTGTGTGTGTACGTGCGTGCGCAGGCACCTGGGGATTGAACCCAGGGCCTTGTACGTGTGCAGCAAGCACTCTACCAACAGAGCCATATCCCCAGCCCTAGGGCCCCACTTCTTAAAGGTTCCATTATATTCCCTATTGCCACACTAGGGATCAAGCTTCTAACACATGAACTTTGGGAACACACTCAAAAAATCATATCCAAACCATATCAGAATGCAGTCATACATTTCAGTGTATATTATTTCTCAAAGATAAAAATGGAGACTTTATGATTAAATAGGATGAATGAACATACACACATACACTCTCTTTTTTCCTTTCTTTACTAAAATGGTAAAAAGGAACAACAGGATCAATAATCTAAGTTCCAGTTTGAGAACAGGACAAGACTAATGTCTTACCTAAACCAGTCAGACACAACACCACATACCACATACCATAACAACACACACACACACACACACACACACAATGTAACGAATTCCTTCTTCTACCTTGTTTTATTTAGGCCCTCCATGGATTGGAAAATGCCCACTTATACTGGAGAGCAATCTGCTTTACTCATTTCACTGATTCAAATACTAATCTCATCTTGAAACACCCTCACATACACACTCAGAAATAGTGTTTAGTCTGGGCACCCTATGTTCCAATCAAGTTGACACATAAAATTAACCATTACACACATGTAAAATTAACCATTACATTACTGTAATTGCTTCATACATTAAAAAAATAACAAAAGTAAATATAGATACACATAGGATTTGATATTTAATCTGTAGAATTGATTTTATTCATTTAAAGTTTATTATTTAAAAAGAAGGATCTTCAATTAGCTACACATTGAATGGAAGAAACTTACTTTGGCATTATTTTCATTTGACCTTGATACTTTACCCCCCATACTGCCTTTTCTTACTTCTGATATGATTCAATCATTTATTTGATAGTTTGTTTCTTAGCATCAATAGCTCTTCTCATTTAGAGTATATCATACCATATACATATTTTTGAAGTTCTTGAAGATAGGAATATCTTTAAACAATGATTTTAAATTTTTTAGTTGTAGATGGACATAGTACCTTTATTTTATTTTATTATTTATTTATTTATTTTAGTTGTAGTTGGACACAATACCTTTAATTTATGTATTTATTTTTATGTGGTGTTGAGGTTTGAACCCAGTGCCTCACATGTGCTGGGCGAGCGCTCTACCACTGAGCGCAGCCCCAGCCCCTAGTACCTTTATTTTATTATCTTTTTATGGTGCTGCTGATCAAACCCAGGGCCTCACAACCCCAACCCATCATCAGTAATTTTCATTCATTGGTCTCTGGAAACTTGAATTTTAGTTATACTTTCTTCCATTCTAGTTTTTTAGTAATCACATCATTTTCACATCAGATAATGAAGTATCTATAATAATTACAGGAAATTTCTTCTGATGCCTCAGTTTATCTTTAAGTGAAGTGGTGTTCATTAGATTATCTCTAAGATGATTACCTTTTCTGAAAATACTAAATGTTGGCCTTTTTATATTGAAGGTAGGATGGTCTTAGTTTTATTCTGATTAGTTTCAACTACTAATCTCGTTTAAGGTTAAGGAATTTGTATAAGCAATTAGACAGGCATTTAAGTTGGACTACTATGACTTCACAGATATTGTCATATGTTCATTCAGAAGAAGGGAGTCACATTTGAGGAAGCACTGTCTTCCATACTACTGACAGTAAAGGCTAATATTGGATTAATAGATCCATTTCTTTATAAAGCAGTGGACTATAATCCACAAAGAATTCATTTGGAGGAAGAACAGTTGTTTGGCAATAAAAATCTCAACAGGAAGCTTTTGAAACAATTTAAAAATTCTGGATGTATACGAAAAAAAAATCATACCAGAGGATATTCTCATGAAACAGCAGTTTCTTAGTTTGGATTCTTGGAGGCTCTACTATACATAAAGTAAATGGTATTTTTATGAATTAATATAATTGTAGTCATTGGGTAGAAAGAGCTTGCTGTTGATGTTTACACATTATCCATTGAAGAAAAAAAGCATGTGGAAATCCTTAACTCTTCCTTTACACTTCCAACTTTTGGCCTTCTGAGACAGTATGATTTGTGTGTTGCTGCCTTCCATGCAGAGCAGGTCTTTGAATCTGAAGGTGTTAATTATAATTTATTGTTATTCCCCATTGCTTTTATTGTCTGGCTATGATAGGCTTATATGATGAAAATTAGGGCTTATTGTTAAGCAAATGTAATGAGCGATCTGTTTTTTCCTTTAGGATCAAACAGACCATACTGAGTCAGCAGGACTTTCCTGTGGCTGCTGTATCAGTGGGACGTGTCCTCTGCAGGAAGGTGCCTGGCTGCAGCCCCCTCCACTGTGGCTCTGCTCCAAGGACTCCTCAGTGAGTCCTAGCAGAACACGGCTAAGGAAAGCAGAGAGGGAGGCTGGTGGTGCAGCAGGCATCATGAATAAGCACAGAGAAGTCTGTCCTTTATCACATTCATAAGGAGAAAAAGGTAAGAAAACCAATGTTCTTATTTTTCTTTGATTGGACTTGAGAAAACAACTAGATATATAGAAAATAATGCTGTTGTATTTTTGCTGTTTGCTTCACTTATAACATTGTATCTTGTTAAATCAGTAGTAGAGTTTTTCAAAAAGACTTGATGTGGGCTGGGGATGTGGCTCAAGCGGTAGCACGTTCACCTGGCGCGGCCCGGGTTCGATCCTCAGCACCACATACAAACAAAGATGTTGTGTCCGCCAAAACCTAAAATAATAAATATTTAAAGAAAAAAAAAAGACTTGATGTTAGTCCAGAGAAATAGAGTATTTTAAAATTGCTTTTAATTATGTCACCACAGGGCTCTGACTGTGGCTCAGCAGTGGATACTTGCCTGGCATGTGTGAGGCGCTGGGTTCGATTCTCAGAACCACATATAAATAAATAAAATAAAGGTCTATCAACTACTTAAAAAAAAATATATATATATATATAATCAGTTTCTGCTACCTTGATTGTGGAAAGATAATTTCAGCATGAAAAAAACATGTATTTTTGCAGTTTTTTAGGAGAAAATAGTGGCATATCTGCCCAATTAATGTCATTTATCTTAGTCATATAAGAGCTGAATAGTAAAACTAATTTGCGAATAGAGAATCAGAATTATAGATTTAAATATATTATTTTGTATTTATATTAGTTTGAATAGCAATAATTTCCAGCAGAAAACTGGAGTATTTCATTAGTTTTTATAAAATAGAAATCTGATTTTTTTTTCCTAAGAATCATGTAAGGTTTTTTTTTGTTTCCAAGTCTAATGATAGTTTATAGGACAGTGTATGGTAGGAAGTTGTGCAGGTGAGACTGGTTTGAGAAACTGATCATACTCTTCACTAGTAACTAGTGTTGTATTGTCTGGCTGAGTTCTCTTGTGTTTATGTATAAATTATGAGGAAAGGCATAGGATAAGAAATTAAATGTGATAAGAAATTGAACTTCTTGGACTGGGATTGTGGCTCAGCGGTAAGCACTCGCCTAGCATGGGCAGGACTCGGGTTCGATCCTCAGCACCACATAAAAATAAAATGCATTGTGTTGTGTCCATCTACACCAAAAAATAAATATAATAAATAAATAAATAGAAAGAAAGAAAGAAAGAAAGAAAGAAAGAAAGAAAGAAAGAAAGAAAGAAAGAAAGAAAGAAATTGAACTTTTTGGGACTGGGGTTGTGTCTCAGTGGCAGAGTGCTTGCCTAGCATGTGTGAGGCATTGAGTTTGATTCTCAGAACCACATATAAATAAATAAAAAATAAAGGTCCATCAGTAACTAAAAAATTAAAAAAGAAGAAGAAGAAAGAAATTGAACTTCTTTTCTCTAGTTGAGGATGGAGCAGAGGCACTTGACAATGATGTTGCATTTTGACTTATTGTACACAAATGCAACACAACTTTTCATTTTTCTTGTTGTATATGTTGCAGAGTCACACCATTCGTGCAGTCATACGTCCATAAGATAATAATGTCTTCTCATTTCATCATCTTTCCCAACCCCTATACCCTCTCCCCTCCTCTCGCTCCCTTCTGCCCAATCCAAACTTTCTCCATTCTTCTCTTTCCTCCCTCCCCCATTATGGATCAGCATCTACTTATCAGAGAAAACATTTGGTCTTTGGTTTTTTTGGGATTGACTGACTTTGCTTAGCATGATATTCTCCGTATCCATCTATCCATTTATGTGCAAATGCAATAATTTCATTCTTCTTTAAGGCTGAATAATATTCCATTGTGTGTGTGTGTGTTGTGTATGTGTATGTATGTATGTGTGTGTGTGTGTATGTATGTGTGTATATATGTATGTATATATACACACAAACATACACACACACACACACACACACACACACACCACAGTTTCTTTATCCATTCATGTACTGAAGGGCATCTAGGATGGTTCCACAATTAAGCTATTGTGAATTGTACTGCTATAAATGTTGATGTGGCTGTGTCCCTGTAGTATGCTGTTTTTAAGTCCTTTGGGTATAGACCAAGGAATGGGATAGCTGGGTCAAATGGTGGTTCTATTCCAAGTTTTCCAAGGAATCTCCATACTACTTTCCATATTGGTTGCACCAGTTTGCAGTTTTACCAACAATGAATGAGTGTACCTTTTTCTTCATCCTCGCCAACACTTATTGTTGTTTCTATTCATAATAGCTGCCATTCTGACTGGAGTGAGATGAAATCTTAGAGTAATTTTGATTTGCATTTCTCTAATTGCTAGAGATGTTGAACATTTTTAAAAAAATATTTAGAGAATACACACGGAGGATGGGAAGATGGCGGTGAGGGGAGTGCATTGCCCCCATGTGCCGCGTCACTGTGCGGGAGAATGACGAATCAGGACGGCTAAAGGCTATCTTGTTAGGAATTTCCAGCAAAAGTGGGGTGCTCCGGAACCTGGAGGAAGGATTTCCATCGCACGAGGATCGGCTACGGGGGCTCAAATGCGAGAGATTTGTCTGCACGGAGGGTCACGCTGCTTGTTCGGCAAATCGCCCCGCGGCTAGAGCCTGCGGCGCGCGCTGGGAAAAGAGGAGATAGCGACGCAGGGATACAGCGCTGCAGTTTCTTTCTGCGGGCTTCTGCCAGCTGTGCAAGCACCGTACTAAGTGCTGAATTCTGGGTTTGAGACAGGGGAAGGAAGCGGTCCAATTCAGTTCTCCACACCGGTCAGACCACAGACGAGGCCAGCGGCCACCATCTTGGAGAGCTGACATCACCATCCCTGTTTTCGACTGATCGCAGCTCATTCAGCCATAGAACAGGTAATTTTAGGCTGCCATTCGCCTGCGGCTTGCAGACAAATTACTCAGGCTCAGTGCTAAATAACCCGCGGAAACTGCTTCTTGGAGCCTGCTCTTATCAGAGCATGCACCAAGCATGGAGCGGCTGAGTTCCAGCTCCCGGAACTGCTCTGGCCCAGGGCTAAGGAGCCCGCAGAAACTGCTTCTCGGTCCGGGTCCTGCTGAGTACTGTGGAGATAAATACCAACCGAGCCTTCGTGGGCAGTGGCAACGGGACTGAGACGGGGCTTGTGAGGGCCGGTCAGGACTCACCCGTTGCTTTGGTCACCCGGCAAAGGGAACGAAATGCTGCCATTCGCATGGGATACCAACATGGCAGAGATTTGATGTCATCAGGAAGCGGCGGAGGAGAGAACTTCATCAATACCAGTGGCGACAGAAACAGTTGGTCTCCTGGTAGGGAGGGTGAGTCACAGACACCTGAGTCTCTCTCGCTTTGTCGTTGAGCCAGAGGGGAGGAGCGGGGCCGCCGCCCGCGCCCGGAACAGGCCCAGCGGCTCGCAGGCGTGGTGGTCGCATGACCCCAATTGGAGTGGGGGCGGAGTGGAGCCCCCACCCGCGCCCGCAAGGTGGGCAGACCTGCGACCGACCGGCAGAACAGGCCCAGTGGTCTGCGGGCGTGGTAGGAGGGGCAGGGAAGAGCCGCCGCCCGCGCCTGCAAGGTAGGCAGACCTGCGACAGACCGGCGGATCAGGCCCAGCGGCCTGCCAGCGTGTTACACACGTCACCCCAACTGGAGTAGGGGCAGAGCAGAGCCTTCGCCCGCGCCCGGATCAGGCCCAGCGGCCCGCCAGTGTGGTGGTCACGTGACCCCAATTGGAGTGGGGGCGGAGCGGAGCCACCACCCGTGCCTGCAGGGTGGGCAGACCTGCGACCAACCTGTAGAACAGGCCCAGGGGTCCGCGGGCGTGGTAGGAGGGGCAGGGCAGAGCCGTAGCCTGCGCCTGCAAGGTAGGCAGACCTGCGACAGACCGGCGGATCAGGCCCAGCCGCCTGCCGGCGTGGTAAACACGTCACCCCAATTGGAGTAGGGGCAGAGCAGAGCCGCCACCCGCGCCCGCAAGGTAGGCAGACCTGCGACTGACCGGTGGAACAGGCTCAGCGGCCGGCCGGGGTGGTAGGCATGTCACCCCAGTTGGAATAGGAGCAGAGCAGAGCCTTCGCCCGCGTCCGGAACAGGCCCAGCGGTCCGCGGGTGTGGTAGACAAGTCACACCAATTGGAGTAAGGGCAGAGCAGAGCCGCCGCCCGTGCCTGCAAGGTAGGCAGACCTGCGACCGACTGGCAGAACAGACCCAGGGGTCTGCGGGCGTGGTAGACACCTCACACCAATTGGAGGAGGGGCAGAGCAGAGCCGCTGCCCGTGCCTGCAAGGTAGGCAGACCACCGCCCGACCCTGCAAGGGGGACTTTTCAACTATACAAGAGCAATATAAATATATAGGGGGAAAAAATTTTCAAAAACACAACAGTTTCACCAAGCAGAAAGAAATGCAAGCAGTATGAAAAGACAAGGAAAGAAAGGACCACAAGCAATGCAGGTCAACTCAACTTTAGAAGAGGTAACAGCTGCAGCAGATGGAATGTCAGATAAAGAATTCAGGATATACATGCTTCAGATGATCTGGAGTATCAAGGAAGACATTAGACAGTAAAATCAGACAATGAAAGATCACTTCGACAATGAATTACACAAACAAATCCAGGAAGCAAAATATCAACTATACAGGGAGATAGAGGTTATAAAAAACAAACAAACAGAAATCCTAGAAATGCAGGAAGCAATAAACCAACTTAAAAACTCAATTGAGAATACTACCAGCAGAGTAGAACACTTAGAAGATAGAACATCAGTCAATGAAGACAAAGTATTTCAACTTGAAAAGAACATAGACAGCTCAGCAAGACTGTTAAGAAACCATGAGCAGAACATCCAAGAAATATGGGATAACATAAAGAGACCAAACTTAAGAGTCATTGGGATACAGGAAGGTATAGAGGTCCAAACCAAAGGAATGAGCAATCTATTCAATGAAATAATACGAGAAAACTTCCCAGATTTGAAGAATGAGACAGAATCCCAAATCCTAGAAGCCTACAGGACGCCGAATGTGCAAAATCATAAGAGATCCACACCTAGATACATTATAA